AAAAATCAGACTCCGCGAAAAAGGACTCTGTCGAGACGGGGAAACTCCGAGAAGACCCAAGAAATTATAAGGATTTGTTAAAGTTATCTTATAAAGATGCTTTAATGAAAACTTATGATTCTCGAGGGGCTAGAGCCTTGGAGAAAATCTAAGAGGGACTCCAGAAGAAGCAGAAACTTGTGGAGATCATACCGGTACCCGAAAACTTGGGGACAAAATTAAGGAGTGCGGAAAGAAGCCGACCTTTCCACGGAGTCAACGTCCTCTCCCTACACCAGCCCACAACGACTACCCGTTCCCTAGGGAAGACGTCGGTGGAGCTGAAGCAGCTCAAGAGTAAGTTGGGGGTCTACAAGAAGCAGCAAAAACCCCAAAATCCTCCTGCGGATGCATCCAGCTCAGCAAATTCGGTATCAACGACACACAAAGTCGTCAAGAAAGCTTAGGGTCCTGAGGGAGAGACTTTCTCCAAGCAGCCTCAGCCAGCTGCTAACCCACAAGCAGATAGCAAGAAAAGGGTGTGTACGGAATATTGGGATGTACCCTATGATCCTAGTAACGAAACTATCTTTTGGTACTCCGAGCAATGCCCGCCCCTCATGCTTGAGGTCATCTGCAAAGGACGACGCCTCCAAGCACTCGTGGACAGCGGAGCATCGCACACCGTCTGCAACAAAGCAGTAATCGACCGACTTCGGGAAGAGTACAAGCCTTTAGTATTCTCTGCAACGATGGTGGACGGCAGCAAGTTACCAGTACACGGCGAAGCAGTGTTTTACCTACAATTCGAACCACTGCGCTGGAGACCTGCACTCCCCATCACAAACATAAGAGGGCTTGACTTGATCTTCCTAAAAAGATTCAACCCCGAGATCAACTGGGTAAATCGTACCGAAAGCATCTACAACAATGGAAGGAGAGTCCAGCTACCCAACTGGGATGATATAGGAGATATCCTAGTGGACACACTCGTACGATTCGAGAAGGACGTAAAACAAATCGACACCGGTTTCCCGGCGATAGCAACAAAGGTGGAAAACGACGGGGAGAAAACCTCAAAACCTCTAAGGAATTACTGAAGGAGTTCCAAGACACTCGTCCCGACGACCTTCCGAACGAGTTGTCGCCATACCGAACGCACCAACACGAGATCGTGGAAGAACTAGGTTCGAAGCCGACCTTCCGAGCACCATATTGGCTCAGCCCCACAGAGCTAGCCGACATGAAGAAGCAAATCGAGTATCTCTTGCAAAAGGACTCATCCGACCATCTACTTCGCCATACGGTGCCCCTGTACTCTTCACAACGAAACCGGACGGAAGCCTGCGCATGTGCATCGATTACCGAGCTCTTAACAAGCAGACCATCAAGAACAAATACCCAATCCCACAAATCGATGACCTGCTTGACCAACTTTGGGGAGCCACGGTATTTTCCAAACTGGATCTGCGGTCCGGAAACTGGCAGATACAAATGGCGGACAATTTCATCCACAAAACCGCCGTCCGAACTCGATACGGGTCGTACGAGTATCTGGTAAGGCCGTTCGGACTCACCAATGCACCGGCTATGTTCCAAGCTAAAATGAACCATATTCTATGCCCACTCTTGGACAAATGCGTGGTGGTGTACCTGGACGACATCCTCATCTACTCGCGCGACATGCAGCAGCACTTCCAACACCTGCGACGCGTCTTCGACATTCTCCGACGAGAACGATTCTACGTCAAGTTATCCAAGAGCGAATTCGCCCTCGAGAAAGTCCAATTCCTAGGACACATGGTGAGCGCTCAAGGAGTTCACGTCGACCCCAAGAAGATCGAAGCTGTACGCACGTGGAAGACACCCGAGAACATGAAGGAGTTGGAGCAGTTCCTAGGCTTCGCGAGCTATTACAACAAGTCCGTGCCACAGTACGCGAAAATTGCAATGCCACTCACGAATCTGCTGAAGAAGAACACGCTTTATATGTGGGAACCAAAACATCAGGAAGCCTTGGAGCAGCTGAAACAAGCACTCACGTCTGCACCCGTACTCATCTTGCCAGACCCCGAACGCAACTACGTCATCAAAACTAACGCTAGCGACCAGGCAGTGGGAGCAGTCTTAATGCAAGACCAAGGGAATGGACTGCAACCAATCGCCTACCTCAGCAAGAAACTACACGGGGCAGATTTAAACTACCCAATACACGACAAAGAGGCCCTTGCTATTATCATCGCCTTCAAAACATGGAGATGTTATCTCGAAGGACGACAAACAACCGTCTACACCGACCACTGCAGCCTGAAATATTTGAAGACACAACCAAACCTCTCCAAGCGGCAGGTCCGGTGGATTGACTTCCTCGAGACGCACTTCCACTATGACATCGTGTACAAGCCCGGCCAAAAAAACAAAGCACATGCTCTTAGTCGGCCTGCACACATTGCCGCCATCTAGGTTGAAGGGATGAACCCACTTCTAAAGGGACTCTTCACACACGGGTATGCCATCGACCTTGAAATTCCTTTGGTAGAAAAACGACACTTGCTACCGTGGGACAGTGACATCGCATACCGGAAGGGATCAATGAAAATCTGGGTACCCAATTACCCTCCTTTGTGCCAGTTACTACTCGATGAATACCACGCTGTCCAATACGCGAGAAACTTCGGTAGCAACAAATGCTCACCGGTATTGCAAAGCACTACTACTGGCCCCACATGGCAGCCGACATCCAACAATTCGTCACCTCGTGTGCTACATGTCAGCGGATGAAGAGCAGCAAGCAGGAAAAAGCAGGACTGCTACAGCCTCTTCCTATCCCATAACAACCGTGGCAAGTGGTTAGCCTGGATTTCATCACCAGGTTACCAACTACCACTAGCGGTCATGACGCAATCCTCGTTGTCATTGACAAACTCTCAAAAATGGGACACTTCATCCCGACAAACACGACAGCACGCACCGAAGAAAGAGCACAACTATTCGTTCACTACATCATCTCACAACATGGCCTACCAACCACGCTCATTTCCGACCGAGACCCCAAGTTCACCAGCAAGTTCTGGAAGGAACTAATGTCCCTGCTCGGGACCAAACTCGCCATGTCATCCGCCTACCATCCGCAGACAGATGGACAGACCGAGCGCCTCAACCAAATTGTAGAGCAGCTCTTTTGCGCAGCATGCAAAGACGAAATCTCTAAATGGGACTTGCATCTACCCGTCCTGGAGTTTGCCTACAACAATGCCACTCACGCCGCTACTGAACAGACGACGTTCTTCCTCTGCTACGGACGCCACCCACTCACGCCACAAAAACCGACAGCATCAGCCACAGTCCAACCCGCACACGACTTCATCACGACCATGAGCTTTGGGATCGGACCCACAGGCGCCTCCTCAACATTCAGCAGCAACAGAAGTGCCAGGCCGATCGCCACCGCACTGACCACACCATCACCGTGGGAGACCAGGTTCTCCTTGACACCCACAATATCAACATCAGTCATCTCCCATCCAAACTGCGACCTCGCTTCTTCGGGCCCCTTCTCATTGAAGCACAGCTACCTTCCATTACCTGTTACCTTTCGCTTACGCCTGTCAGCTACCTGAAAGATTCACAACGCTTTCCATGTCCAACTTCTGAAGCCCTATCGAGACCCTAACACGATCTTCACCGGATGCCAACCCTTGCCGCCGTCGCCCGTCCTCGACCACGATGAACCCGAGTACGAGGTCGAGTCCGTGCTCGCACACCGCTGTCGTCGGAATGGCACCATGGAGCTTCTCATTCGTTGGAAGGGTTATGATCCCTCTGAGGATACTTGGGTTCCTGACTCCGAGATGGATAACGCTCGTCGTCCTCTACGCGAATACCTTGTCAAGCAGGGTGTTACTTCTCCCACCCAGCTTTGAGGGGGGGAAGTGTGAGAGTACGACCCCGTTACACCAATTTCCCTTTCCATATCTCATTTCTATTTCATTCCTATTTTTCTCTCATCTCATTTGGTTTCCTATTTCTCCTATTCCATTATCCTTTGGTTGATCCTGTTATTATAATTATATCACCGACCACGCTCGGGATGTACTGGCGCTCTATATCTAGCGTAATCCTACCGTAATCCTTAAAGCCAATAGCCTTGCGTGGCTATACGCAGGGTGATTCTATTTCTAGAATGGTCTATTCCCTTTGGATATGATAAACCTGGTTACCTGATGTACTTTGGAAGTATAAAAGCGCCTTGTATCAATCGATAGTGCAACTTTTCCTCGACACATTCGATCCTGTGACATTGTGGGTGGCGGTGGCGGTGCTGCCCCTCAGCACCATCGAGTGTGAGCATAGCTTCTCCCGCCACAATTTGATCAAGAGCTCACTGTGCGGCAGCCTCAACGATTCTCGGCTTAGCGATCTCATAATGATGTCTATGCTGGACTACACCCCAGATTACCCCCATGTAATAGAGATCTAGAGGGCCTACAGGAAGAGAAGGCCCTATTCCATCAGTCGGCCCTACCATTAGAGCAAGACGGGCAAGGAGAAGGTGGATGATGATGAGTGTAGTGGCCCCATGGATGAGGTGGAGGAACTAGAAGCATGTAGATGCCGATGATGAAATGTAATAAATATGGCCTCGTGGCTTTTAAGGTTTTTTTTTTTTTTTTTTTTTTAACAAGGCTGAACTTTCGACGAAATTTTTTGGAGTCAAGGCTGACACATTCGGCCTTTTTTTTTTTCAGAGGGAGGCTGAGAAATCAACCTAATTATGGGGGGCAAGGATGATAAATCAGCGTGCCAAAAAATGAAACTTGGGGCATGTATCATATTATTATCGGAATATTGATATTTCTACCATTCTGAAAACATGCTCGGATGAGGTGTTTGTGTCAACAAATATATTTACATTGATTAGCTAGGTCATATTTGTATATTGCCTAGCTAGTTTAGTTCTTAGCAAGTACAGCCCTAGTTTTGTATCCCTAGTCACACCTTTTCCGCTACTCTAACATTGTATTGAGCTAGGTTATATATTTTTTCCGTCGTTACTCACGCTTCAGCCGTTACTGTAGCTTCCTTCTTCTTCTTCTTCTTCTTCTTCTTCTTCTTCTTCTTCTTCTTCTTCTTCTTCTTCTTCTTCTTCTTCTTCTTCTTCTTCTTCTTCTTCTTCTTCTTCTTCTTCTTCTTCTTCTTCTTCTTCTTCTTCTTCTTCTTCTTCTTCTTCTTCTTCTTCTTCTTCTTCTTCTTCTTCTTCTTCGTCTTCTTCTTCTTTTCTTTTCTTTTCTTTTTTTCTTTTCCCGCGTGTGTGCCCCTCTCAATTTCGCGCACCTCCTGCCTTCCAATTTCGCGCTCCGTAGCCTCGACTCCCCACCACCCCGCCCAGCGTTTGCGCTGTTTCGAACGGCAGCCAACGTGCCAGCAAGCCAGCACGCTCGCCAGCCCACTAGCCAGCCCGCAAGTGCGCCAGCCAGCATGCCAGCCTTCACGCCAGCCAGCTAGCCAACACGTTAGCCAGCTAGCTCACCAACCGAGTTAGCCGGCGCGTCGTCAGCTGTGCTAGCCAGCTTGTCGCTAGCAGCGTCCGTCAGCTCGCCGCCAGCTCCTCGCCAGCAGCGCCAGCCAGCTAGCCGCCAGCTGCGTCCACCAGCTCGTCGCCAGCAGCTGCTACCAGCCACTCGCCAGCAGTGCCAGCTAGCTAGCCGCCAGGAGTGTCCGCCAGCTTGCCGCCAGCAGCTGCTGCCAGCCACTCGCCAGCAGCGCCAGCCAGCTAGCCGCCAGCAGCTTCCGCCTCGCTGCCAGCAGCGCCAGCTAGCTGGCTGCCAGCAGAGTCCGCCAGCTCGCCGCTAGCAGCTGCTGCCAGCTGCTCGCCAGCAGCGCCAGCCAGCTAGCCGCCAGCAGCGTCCGCCAGCTTGCCGCCAGCAGATGCTGCCAGCTCATCACTGGCCAGCTCGCCGCTGCGCCAGCCCCTGCCACTGCAGCCACAGACAGCCGCCGCCAATGCAGCCCCTGCTGCTGCCGCTGCTGCCTGTGCCTCTGCCGCTGCCGCTGCTACTGCTGCAGCTGCCGCTGCCGCTGCGCCCACTGCCACTACCGCAACCGCTGCAGCCACTATTGCTGCCGCAGCCGCCACTGCCACTGCAGCAACTGTCATTGCCGCAGCCGCCGCTGCCACTGCAGCCACTGCCGCAGCTGCCACTGCTGCCTCAGCCGCTACCGCTGCCACTGCTTGCGCAGCCGCCGCTGCCCTAGTGGCCGCCACTGCCACAGCTGCCCTTGTAGCTGCCGCTTCCGCCACTGCCCTTGAAGCCTCTACTGCTGCCGCTGCCCGTTGCAGCTGCCGCCACTGCCGCTGCAACCGCCACTGCCACCGCTACTGTTGCAGCCGCCACTTCAGCTCTCTTTGTTGTCAACAACCACTACCACTACCGCTGCTACTGCCGCCACTCCCGTGGCTAGCCTCCAGCCGCGCAGCAGCCGTCGCAAGCCAGCTCGTGGCTGGCCCGCCGCCGTCGCCACCCTGCCGCCAGCTAGCAGCTGCCGCCGCCGCCGGCTATCACTGCAGCACCTGTTCCTGCTGCCCCTGTAATAGCTGCCGCCGCTGTCCCTACCTCTGTCGCCTCCGTTTTCACGGCCGCAGCTGCCACCACATCCGCTAGCATGGCGTCGCCCAACACCTTCGTTCTATGCCTGGATGGGAAGGGGCGGGTGGCCGGTTTCGCTGCCTGGCAGAAGGCGGTTCTCCTGCAGCTCACGAGTCAGCGCGTCAAAGGCGAGTCCCTGGACGCCCACGTCACTGGTGAGCTCCCTCCTATCCCCCAGCCGGGCGCTCTTGCTGCTGACGCGACGTCTGCGCAGCAGGCTTTGCACGCTGCTTCTCGTACCGCCTACTCTGTCTGGCCATCCCGCGACGCCACTGCTCGTGTCGCCATCCTCAAGTGCCTACCGGTTGATGAGCACTCCCACTTTGTGGGTGTTGCATCAGCCTGTGCTCTCTCGCTGGCTATCCTCACTAAGAGCTCCACACCGTCGTCTGCCACTCTTGGTCGTCTCCTCCTCCCTTTCTCCCACCCCGACCTGACGTCCTTCACCACTGTAGCAGACTTAGTTGAGCACCTCCGCTCCCTCGACCCACGCTGGCGTGCGGCCTGTACTAAGGCCCAGCTAGCGCTTGCCCCCCCCCCCCCCCCCCCCCCCTCCCCTCCCCCCGCCTCTTTGCCGCTATCTACTTCCTTATCACCCGCCTCCTTGACCGTCTTGCCCCTGCCCGCGACGCGCTCCTCGCTCGCCACCCGTCTTAGCTCACCCTTGACCTCTTCTCTACCTCCTTGACTGAGATAGAGGACCGACTTCGCGCCATCGCTTGAAATATGGAAATGGGAAATTGGTGCAACGAGGTCGTACTCTCACACTTCCCCCCCTCAAAGTTGTGTGGTAGAAGTAACACCCTTCTTGACAAAGGTAGTCACAAAGAGGACGACGGGCGTTACCCAAGTCGGATTCAAAGACGCAGCCTTAGAAGAATCAAACCTTTCCAGCAAAGAACAAGCTCCAAGGTGCCACGCCAACGATGACGGTGAGCAAGCACGTAGTTGACATTCGGTGGTTGGCGTTTGGTGTAGAGTGTTTGTGGTCCCGATACGGTTTAAGAAGCTGGTATGGAAGGCGTTAAGGATCTTCCAAGTGGCTGGTAGGCGGAAGCAAAAGGTGATTGAAATGATATTTGCTTCAATGAGGATAGACCCGTGGAAGCAAGGTTGAAGCTTGGATGGAAGATGATTGATGTGGAAATTGCGGTCTGGATAATGGTAGTGATGAGTGGACAAGTGCTTCAGTTGCTGTTGGATGTCCAAGAGGCATGTCCTGTCTTAGAGCTGTTGGATAATTGTGATGAAATGGAATTGTCGGTTGCTGTGGTGTAAGCGGTTTGCATCTGTAGCAAAGGAAGAATGGTAACCGTGATGTTGCAATTGAGGTGGCATTGATGTAGACGCACTCCCATATCAGCAGCGTTGTGCAGAAGCTGTTCAACAATCCGATTGAGCCACGCTGTATGTCCGTCAATTTGTATGTGGTGCTTGGATGGCGTTGATCGTGGTCGAGATGTTGTATCGTAAGATGATGCTGAGGACTATATGTGTTGTCATTTCGTTGTGTGCTGTACTCTAGGTAGCACACCTTGTCGTTACGCGCATCTCCTCCACATGTGAAGATGACCAAGTGTTGGTGGCATGGCAGTCGTGTCATAGTACTACTTCTGTAGCAGCGTTGTATCCGATACATGCAGCTTCTGTCGAATGCTGGTCCATGCCTTAGTGTTGTCGAGAATCGTACCCTCTCAGGATCGTAGTGCTGTGGGATGGAGATCAAAATCACTAGTCACACTGCCCTGAGTACAACAGCGCATGCAAATAGGGGTGTTGTTGGAGATACGCAGAGTCCACTATCCGGAATGGTGTCAACGCTCAGTTTCATGCCTCTATGCTTTCCTGGAGGTGGTGCACATAATGGATTAGTTGCGACACAGGTTTTATGACTGATATAACAATCAACGGCCATAAGGACTTCTTTAATATATATATTTCAGTTATAAATTGATCTTTTGAATATTCCAGATATATGGCCCATTTTTCCTCATCAGTTGTTATGCAAACGATAGCATATAACAGAAGCCGTTGTTCACTCCGGATGTTGTCTATCATAGTGTAAGGAATTTCCCTTTTCCTTACTGGGCTCGACTACAGCGCGTACGCCCTCGACTCTCGGAAGTCCAGGCTCGGCCAACTTCTTCGGTCCCGAACCACTTCGTGAACCCAAACCTAGACGTGCAGCGCTTCCGTGGCTTTTGCCAACCGGACCGCCCCAACCTGTTCGCATGGTTCTCGGCTAGCTCTGTTCGTGCCTATAAATGCCTAGGCCCTCATTTGTATTGACACTCTTGAATCACGACTCCTTTATTACTCGACCTGTTATTACTCTGATTAATTCATAACAGCTGGTATCAGAGCACCGTTCCTGCCCGCTTAGTCTTCAGTAGAGTAGTCCATTTATATCGGGAGAGGACCCGACAGAATAGAGGGTTGGCCAACGGTTGGTAGGTGAGCTCGATAAAGCTCCTCCAAGCAGAAGCGTGTGCACCCTCAGATCTGTTAGGTAAAATTTCCAGCATGTCTACCACGCCAGAAACCTCTGCCTGCCGTTGTATTAGGAACGTGACTCAGAAGGAGTTTGACGAGTTGCAAGCCAGGGTGGCTACAGTGACGACACTGCAGGCCTCGCTTCAATAACTCGTGGATAAATTCGAGTCGCTCGGAATCGAAGTTCAGACGCTGCGCAACGAAAACTTGTCGCTTCGCCAGACGCGGGGTGAAATGCGTTAGGGGCGGCCTCTTACCCGAGACGAAGATGCTGCGAGCGAAGCGAGGGCATCGGCAAAACCTGAAATAGTTGAAGAAGTCCACAGCGAGCCGCGAGCAGCAATTAAAATCAAACCACCGATGCCTCCGCCGTTCAACCCGACCGACAGGACAACTACAGTGAGTGGGTGGCTGTTCGCCATAGAAATCTTCTTCACAGCAGCAAGTATTAATGACAATGCATCACGCGTCAACTTGGCTGTGTCACTACTGAGGTGACCGGCACTTGACTGGTGGCGCATGCATCTAGATGAGGGAGGAGCCACGGCAGGGAATCAACGGGCGGTAGATGGGGAGCACAGTTCATCAACAGCGAAGGCGGAACCAATCTTTGGATCGGCCACAATCTGCACGTGGAAAGCGTGGGGCGAAGCGTTGAAGGGCAGATTCGAGCACATATCCATGCGCAAAAATGCTCGCACAAAGCTTTGGGCTCTGTCCAAGAATACAGTTGGTGGAGACAGTTGGGCTCTGTCCAAGAATACACGGCATCGTTTCTGGCAATCTGCGACCAAATCAGAGGGCTTAGCAAAGACGAGCGCATCAATCGCTACGTGGGTGGTCTCGAGCCGGTGATCCGGCTAGAGATCGTCCTGCGAGCCCCGGCGATATTCAACGAAATATTTCGCATAGCAGACGCGCTGGACTCACGACGTGGACTTGCGAGAGTGGGTTTCTGGGAGGGAAATTGCTTTTGAGGCCAGCCCCAACACACATCAATCAATAGCGTGGACGTGTTTGCAACCCGAGTATTTTCGAGGACCTGCTTCCACTACAACCAGCCAAGTCATATGGTGAGGGACTGCCCACAGCTGAAGAAGAACTTAGCTAACAAAAAAAAGCAGTCGGGAAATGGAGATCGTCAGTAGCAGATGGGCCACCTACTGACTTGACTGCGTCAACCAAACGCCACCACCCCCACCAGGTTATAGTACCGATTTGGGCTATCGACCATTCTTGGCTGAAAAGGGGGGTGAACCAATTGATCGCCCTGTGCTGGTTGAAGGAAGAGTTGGCGACACCCGCATCAAAATGTTTGTTGATGGTGGGGCGAGCCACAGTTTGATGGACGTGACGAAGGTGAAAAAAATGCGATTGCAGCTGGAGAGCTGCATGCCCGAAATCGACGCGCGACTGGTTGACGGCATACCACTGGCAATTCAGAGCGGGTACCTCACGCGCGAGTAACATGCGGCGAAAATTTCAGTTTCACGACGAAGATGCGGGCAACAACTTTGGACAGCTGCAAAATGCTGCTAGGACATGATTGGCTGCGCGAATACAACCCGAGCTTTAACTGGCGGACGGGCGATTGTCGCATCAAATGGAGTGGCGAGTGGCGGCGACTACCCAAGTGGAGCTGTCAAGATTCGACCACATCGACGGTAAGTGCAGTGACGATTAAGTGAGCCATGATTCAAGGGGCGCAACTGTATGCCGTCCAATGGATCGCATCAACGGCTGTCGACGCACCGACCGACATCGACAAACTCTGAGCAGCTGTCCCGGATGATTTGGCGATGGTGATTCAGAAACACGCCGACATTTTTCCAGACGACCTACCGGCGGGTTTGCCACCTGAGTGAGAACATGACCACAAAATCGAGCTGGAGCCAGGCGCGCAACCTACTATTCAGACTCAATGGCGGCTGACTCAGCCCGAGCTAGATGAACTTCGACGCTAGCTGGACTACCTGCTCGAGAAAGGTTTCGTTCGGCCCAGCACCTCACTGTTTGCAGCTCCAATACTGTTCACCCCGAAGAAAGATGGCGGTCTACGAATGTGTATTGACTACCGCGCCTTAAACCGGGTTACCATCAAGTCTCGCTATCCTATCCCGCGTGCCGACGAACTCATCGACCAACTTCGCGGAGCCAAATTCTTTTCAAAAATTGACCTGCGAGGCGGTTACCACCAAATCTGCGTGAACGAAGGTGACTGCTACAAGACGGCGTTTCAGACCCGGTACCCGAGTTACGAGTACACAGTTATGCCTTTTGGATAAACAAACGTGCCTTTGAAGTTCTAGTTAAGTATGAACAAGGTTTTCTGGCCACCGCTGGACAAATGCGTCATCGTGTACCTCGACAACATACTGGTCTACAACACTACCCGAGAGCAACATTTGAAGGATTTGACCGCTGTTTTCTCTCTCTTGCATCAACACCGACTCATCACCAAGGGCTCTAAGTGCGAGTTTCTAAAACACAAACTGGAGCTTTTGGGCCACGTAATTTCCATCGACGGCGTTAAAATCGACCCCAAGAAAATCGCGACGATACAAGACTTGAAGCCGCCGGGTAATCTCCGTGAACTTCAGAGTTTTCTGGGGTTCCTGAATTACGTCCGCCGTTTTATTCCGAACATGGTGGGGGTAACTTCCCCTCTCACGGATCTACTAAAGAAGGGCACGTTTATGAGTGGGGGGGAGAGCAGCAAGCTGCGTTCGAACAGCTCAAACTTTTCCTGACTACACCTCCGGTTCTTCGGATTGCAGATCCTCACCATCCATTCGAGCTCATCACCGACGCTAGCAATATGGCCGTTGGCGCAGTATTGCTACAAGACTTCGCCGAAGGCCTCCAACCCATCGACTACGAGTCCCGAAAGCTGAACCCGGACGAGAGGAATTATCCTGTCCACGACAAGGAGTTACTCGCCATCATTCATGCTTTCAAAGTCTCGCGCTGCTACCTGACGGACGCTGACGTGACAGTTCGAATAGACCACAAGTCGCTACAGTTCATCCGCGCCCAACCGACACTGAATCCCCGACAGATTCGCTGGCTCGACTACCTCGAGTTCAATTTCCACTACAGAGTCACCTACAAGCGAGGGGTCGACAACATCGCTGACGCACTGACCCGCCCCTCGGTCCACACCACCGCAGTCCTAATTACCCAAGCTAATCCGCTGCTAACTGGCCTATTCACCCACGGATACAGTACTGACCCATTCTTCACCACTAACAGTCATCCCCAACTGACGGACAAGCAAGCGGCCTATTACCTAAAATCCGGTACCAATCGGATTTGGGTTCCCGCCTACCGTACCCTACGGGAATTACTGATCTAGGAGGCACATGACTCTAATTTCTCGGGTCACTACGGCATCAACAAAACTGCCAAATTACTGAGCCGTAATTATTATTGGCCCAATTTGCCGACAAACGTGCAGCTGTACGTCACCTCCTTCGCCATGTATCAACGCATGAAGTCTTCCCGGCTTCGACATGCGAGATTGCTGCAGCCATTCGAGCCACCCAGCCGACCCTGGTAATAAGTGACGATGGATTTTGTCAATGGCCTGCCAGCTGGTCCGAGTGGTAACAACGCGATTCTTGTCGTCGTTGACCGGCTGACCAAGATGGCCCACTTCGCCACCTGCAAGACGACGATTACTGCCGAGCAGACAATGAAAATTTTCTTCACAAACATCGTGCGGCTACACAGCATCCCCTCGGCAATCATCAGCGATCGCGACCCACGGTTTACGTCCAACTTCTGGACAAAAACCTGGCAGCAGTACGGCACACGTCTGCATCCTTCCACGGCGTACCACCCGCAATCAGACATCTAGACTGGGCGCACCAATCAGACGATAGAGCAGTTGATTCGCACGACGTGCACAGACCCGACCCAATGGGAAGACTCCCTTCCCTTGATCGAGTTTGCGTACAACAACGCCCCATCGGCCACGACTACTCAGTCCCCCTTCTTCCTTAATTATGGGATAGTTCCGACAACCCCTCTATCGCCCCCGATAGAAAATCCGGCACCAAGGTCGAAACAGTTCGTCGAAAATCTCTCACAGTCTCAGCAAAAAGCCGCCGATGCCATTCTCAAAGCCAACCAGAGGGCTAAGCAGCAAGCTGACCGACGACGCCAAGACTTAACACTTGCCCTTGGGCAATTGGTCCTGCTCGACACCAGAAATTTGGGAATTCCCCTCCCGAATAAATTACGACCAAGATTTTGCTGCCCATTCCGCATCATCCGCATGGTGATACCAGTCACCGCCCAGCTGCAACTGCCGACCGACTGGCGAATCCATGATTCGTTCCACGCAGTCTCCTGCGACCGTTCGTCCCGAGCACGACTAATCTCCACCGTCAAGACATCAATCCTATGGTCAACCCGGTACCCAAGCCAACGATCGAGCCGTCCAAGATTCTCGCTCATCACGTAGGAGGCCATCGAGATACAGCTGCCGTTGATTTCCTTGTACGATGGGTCGATCGCACGACTGATGACGATCTTTGGGTCCCCGCAGCTATGCTCGGCGAACACAAAGTCGTCCGGGACTACTTACACCGACGACGTGTCCCTGAAGGGGGGGTGGTGTAAGGAAATTCCCTTTTTCTTACTGGGCTCGACTACATCGCGTACACCCGTGAATCTCGGAAGTCCAGGCTCAGCCAACTTCTTCGGTCCCGAACCACTTCGTGAACCCAAACCTAGACGCATAGTGCTTCAGTGGCTTTCGCCAACCGGACCGCCCGAACCTGTTCGCGTGGTTCTTGGCTAGCTCTGTTCGTGCCTATAAATGCATAGGCCCTCATTTGTATTAACACTCTTGAATCACGACTCCTTTATTACACTACATGTTATTACTCTGATTAATTCATAACAATAGTGTTATAAATGAACAAGCAGAGTAGCGCGGAAATGAATAACGAGATGTTCACTCAATGAATGACGATACAAGGAATGGCAAGCCAAGATATAGGAACACCAGAGCTAGTCTAACCATGCGATGGGAAGGTTCGGGAAAGAGATCAAAGGGCCGCGAAGTGACGAAGCGAGGCCCGGAGAACTCCCGAAGGTCGAACTAGAAGGTCTGGAGAAGCCGAGGCGGTTCTGTCAGAAGGTCTGGAACAGTCCCGAGGCTTCGGGTGTGTTCGAGCGTACGCGATAGCAGTACCGCTCGGTAAGGAATGGAAAATTCCTTACACCACCCCCCCCCTTAGCGAAGGTGATCTATATCAGCCGCGTGCTTGTGGTCCAAATAATTCGCTAGTATCGAAGCTGACTGTATCTGGTCCGAGGGCACCCACGTGTCGTCCTCACTGGTACGATTGATCCATCGTATCAGAAAGTCACCTTGTCGTCCTTGACCGTCGATACGAATCCGATGGCTCAAAATCTTCGAAGGCTCGATGGTCGTCTTGGCTGGTGGCCGTACATCTGGGACCAATCGCTGTCGAGCGATGTCCGACGTGTCAGGAACGAAAGGTCGCAACAGGCTCACGTGGAACTTGTTGTGAATACGCCAGTCATCAGGAAGGCGCAGCTGGGCAGTCACTGGCATCACCATCTTCACGATCTTGAATGGGCCACAGAAATGTAGTCGTAACTTCGTCGGTAGTGGTAGTCGTAAATTCTTTGTGTCCAAAACGACTAGTTGCCCTACTGCCATGGTAATATCCCGTCGATGTAAATCCGCATACCGTCGGGCAGTTGCGTTCGCCTTGCAAATCAGTTCGACAGCTTTGTCTCGGGCAGTCTGTAATTCTTCGACGAATTGCTGCGATCGTGGTACTTGACTTTCAACGTTGGTGGAGACGGGTACGGTGGGGTCCATCCCGTAATTGAGATAAAACGGGGAGTGATTAGTCGTAGCTGAGGGCGCGTTGTTGTAGGAAAATTCCAACATGGGCAGCGCGTCCTCCCATTTTTTCCGGTCGGGGCAGTTTGTCCGAATCAGCTGCTCCATCGTTTGATTTGTCCTTTCAGTCTGGCCGTCTGTTTGGGGATGATAAGCGGATGAGAACTGTAGACGCGTGCCGTACCGAGCCCACGTGTCCTGCCAGAATTTTGACGTGAACTTCGGATCTCGATCGCTAATGATTGCTGCTGGTATCCTGTGTAGACGAACGACGATCGAGATGAAAAGGCGCGCGGTTTCTTCGGCTGTGATGGATGTACGACATGGTGTGAAATGCGCCATTTTCATCAATCGGTCGACGACGACCAAAACTGCGTCGTTTCCGCTGGGTCCGGCCGGTAGTCCCGTAACGAAATCCATCGTTACGTGTTGCCATGGGCGTTGAGGTGGCTCGAGGAGCTGCAACAGTCCTGTAGGTTCCTGGCGTGACGACTTCATTCGCTGGCAGATCGGACACGCGGCCACGTAACGCTGCACGTCCATCACCATATCTGGCCAGTAATAAAACCGCTGCAACACCTTTAGCGTTTTATCAACCTTGAAATGTCCCGATAAATTCGAATCGTGGACTTCTTGAATTAGTAATTCGCGAAGTAGACGATAACTTGGGACCCAAATTCGATCAGTTCCGCTTCGTAAGTAATAGACGCCTTTCCGTGTAGTGACTGGGAGATGGCCGTCGTTTACGAAGAAGGGGTAAGTCGAATACCCGTGGGTAAATAGTCCAGTCAGTAGCGGGTTGCTCTGGGCGACTAGTACTGCTGCGAGTTGGGCAGATGGTCTGGAGAGGGCGTCGGCAATGTTGTTGGAGCCCCTTTTTATACGTGATCTTGTACGTGAAATTGGACTCCAGATAGTCCATCCAGCGTATCTGCCGCGAGTTGAGATTCGGCTGCGCGCTCAGATTCTGTAGAGATTTGTTATCGGTTCGCACCGTCACGTCTGCTCCAGTCAGGTAGCACCTCCAGATTTTGAACGCGTGGACGATCGCCAGCATCTCTTTGTCGTGTACCAGGTAATTGTGCGCAACAGATTGCATTTTCCGAGACTCGTACGCGATTGGTTGAAGACCATTGCCGAAATCTTGCATGAGCACTGCTCCGATGGCGATGTCACTTGCGTCGGTGATGACTTCGAAGGGCCGTTCCGGGTCAGCGATGCGAAGTACCGGTGGTGACATTAAAAGATTTTTTAATGTCTCGAACGCAGCTTGCTGCTTCTCCCCCCACTCGTAAAAATTCCCCTTCTGTAGTAGGTCGGTTAGAGGTCCAGTTAACCCCGCCATGTTGGGTATAAACCGCCGCACGTAATTCACGAAACCCAGAAATGATTGCAGCTGCTGCAGATTTATGGGCGGTTTCCATTCCTGAATAGCCCAGAGTGTTTTCGGGTCTATTCGAATCCCCTCCGTGCAGATCACGTGCCCTAGGAACTCCAATTCTTGTTTAAAAAACTCGCACTTGGAGCCCTTGGTTATGAGACGATGCTGCTGCAACTGCTGAAAAACCGCTTCCAAATCCTTCAAATGTTGCTCCCGGGTCTTGCTGTAAATCAGGATGTCGTCCAGGTAAATTATCACGCATTTGTCGAATAGATCGCGGAACACCCCATTCATGGTGAGTTGAAACGTCGAGGGAGCGTTCGTTAATCCAAACGGCATCACCGTGTATTCGTAACTCCCATAGCGAGTACGAAACGCGGTCTTGTGGCAGTCGTCAGCGAACACTCGAATTTGATGGTAACCGCCGCGAAGGTCGATCTTCGAAAAATAGCGAGCTCCGCGAAGGTTGTCGATCAGTTCGTCCGTGCGTGGGATTGGGTAGCGCGATTTTATCGTTACCCGATTAAGGGCACGATAATCCGTACACATGCGAAGTCCGCCGTCCTTTTTTGGTGTGAACAGGATCGGTGCTGGTTCCGTAACTCCTGTAGCTCCGGCTGAGTCAGGCGCCATTGCGTGCGTACAGTGGGCTGCGCGCCGGGCTCCAGCTCCATTTTGTGGTCCTGGGGTCGTTCGGGTGGCAGTCCACTAGGCAAGTCGTCCGCGAAAATTTCAGGAAATTCCCGATTGATTTTGGCTAAGTCATCCGGGACCAAAGCGCAGAGTTTGTTGATGTCGGTCGCCTCGTTCTGCTCCGTCGATTCGGTTAGATGGACGGCGTATAAATCCGCTCCATTCTTGACCGCTCGTTTGAGGCACACTGCGTTGACTCGTGTCGATGTTGTCTCTGCTTCCGGCCACGTGGGTAATTTTTGCCAGCCTTTGTCGCACTTTACTGTGCACTCGCCTGTCGTCCAATCGATTTGCGGGTTGAATCTTTGCAGCCAATCGTGTCCTAATAGCACGTCGTAGCCGTCGAGCGTTGTCGCCAGTATCGGCGCGCTGAAACCAAAATCGTCGCCACACTTCATGCGAACGACGGGAACTTTGTCGCGTATCGCTAGCGAGGTGCCGTCCACCAATCGCGCGTCGATTTCGGGCAGACACCTCTCCAGCGTCAGGTGTAGTCGTCGTGCTGTCTCTCGATTTATCAGGCTGTGACTCGCACTTCCGTCGATGAATATTTTTATTTTTATTCCGTTGAGTCGTCCCTCCGCCAGTACAGGGTGGTCCACTGGGTAATCCCCCTTATTCAACCGGGAGCGGTTGATAGCATGTATTGGAAGCACTACCCGGTGGGGATGGTGTTTTTCAGGCGATGAGGCAGGGTCAGTAGGGGGCCCGACCGCTACTGACGCTTGGCGTTTCCCGACCCGCCTTCATCGTTCTTCTTTATCTGCTTCTTTCGGGGGCAATCGTGAGATTGGTGAACCGGCTGGTGGCAGTTGAAACATTGTCCCTTGCAAAAATCTTCCATGTGCTCCTTCGCCACTACGCCGTGAATCGTGGGCCATGGATCCTGGCCACGAAAACGATTTCCCTCCCGGGAACCCGCACTCGCATACGTCTGATGTGCGTCGAAGTTGTCTGCGATCCGGACGGCTTCGTGAAACGTCGCCAGTAATTACAGCCAGACCTCGCATTTAATGTCCTGCTTCAAACCCAAAATGAATTGAGCTTTCTTCTCGGAGTCATGCATGTCGGTGATTTGATCGCATAACGCCATGAAGACCAACGCGTAATCCTGGACAGAACTCCACTGGTGCCAGTTGTCCAGCTTCGTGCGTGCGTTGTCTGAGGCGGATATTGGCTCGAACCGTTCACGCAGAGCTGTACCCCACGCCTTCCACGTGCGAATCTTGGTCGATCCAAAAATCGTGGTTGACCCTTGGGCAGCAGACCCAAAGTTTCCGAAAAACCCCTGTGTGTCGCCTGCAGAAAACTCCCCCTCCTGTAGAGTATATCGCCACCAATCTAGCGCAGGTCCCCGCAGTAGTGATACAGCCAGTCGAATATTTAAATCGTCAGCAGTGATCCCAGCGGCGTTGAAATAAAGTTCCGTCGAAAATAACAAGCACGTAACAGTAGTATTCTTATCTGTGGGGTTGAACGGGGGCGGCATTGTCGATTTGATCGTCGATGTCGTCACGATCGGCATAAACGCCAGGGCGGCTACAGTAGCGGCTGCTTCAGACCGAGCGGCTGCTGCTGTTGCTACTGCTGCTGCTGCTTCGGCTGCTGCGCGTGCTGCCACGTCAGCTGCTGCGGCGGCTTCATTGTCCTTGCGCTCCTGTGACACCTCACGTGCGATTTCGTCCAAGACGGTTTCGACACGTCCGGTGCTGGCGACCTCTTCTTGGGCGGCAGATTTCTGACGCGAATCCTCTCGCGCCTGGCGTAACTCAGCAACTTCCGCACGAAGTCGCTTGTTGTCCTCCAACACTGTAGCCATGCGTATGTTCATGGCGTTGAAATGCTCCCGAAGCTCGTTGAACTGAGCTTGGTCCATTTGGTGAATGCTCTGCCGGGGCAGGGGGAAATCCGTAATGTGCCTGTACTCAGGTAAGCGCAAACTCTATCGTAGTTTGGCGAATTAATCAGTCTAATTCGCGGGCAACCGCTTTGCAGCTTACGTGAGGGACCTACCCCCCCCCAAAAAAATCAACTCACGAAAAACGGGTGAGCGAGGAAAGTGGCTCTGATTACCAGGTGTTATGAATGAACAAGCAGAGTAGCGCGGAAATGAATAACGAGATGTTCACTCAATGAATGACGATACAAGGAATGGCAAGCCAAGATATAGGAACACCAGAGCTAGTCTAACCATGCGATGGGAAGGTTCGGGAAAGAGATCGAAGGGCCACGAAGTGACGAAGCGAGGCCCGGAGAACTCCCGTAGGTCGAACTGGAAGGTCTGGAGAAGCCGAGGCGGTTCTGTCAGAAGGTCTGGAACAGTCCCGAGGCTTCGGGTGTGTTCGAGCGTATGCGATAGCCGTACCGCTCGGTAAAGAATGGAAAATTCCTTACAAATAGTATTTTTGTGTAACCATTCACGAAACCATTGCCGAAGATTTTTTAACGAGGATCGAACACTCTCAGACTCTTCCCCCACCTTGGGGACCCCACGCCAGCCACAACCGCTATCTTCCAGAAATTCACCTTCGCCAAGTTCCCGCCTTTGGACATCGCCCATCTCGAAGGCTGAGCATTAGCACTACAAAGGTCAGTTTCCTCTCCCAGCCTGCGTATGCTGGTCTGAATGGATTGCCTTTTCAAGCTGCAGAGACACCAACCGTGCTCTGCGATGGAATCGTCGATTCCATGGGGCAAAATTATGGAGAAGCTCGACGGCCGGGATATTATAACCCTAGCATTATGTAACAAGACCTTTCTATCTATTGCAATGGAAGAATACACCTGGAAGATACGCTGTTTACAGGAACTGGGTTGCAATGCACCCTCTAGTAAGCCCCAGTTTGGCTGGTTGGACATCTACAAAAGCATTACAGGTACCGCATCTTTCTTTACACTCTTGAAATCAGGCGTGCGATGTCTTACCACTATCATATGGTTTTCAGATGGCAGTCACACTTACAGCTCACGACAATCCGACAAACACATCGGTAAGTGGTTGCAAAAGGCTCTGCTTCTTCATTCTCGCGACAGCCGAATTGACTTTGACTTCCAGACTGGATGAGAATTGGGGCGTTTTCGGTCACCAGTGGCAGGGTCGTAGCAACCGATACACTTCAAAAGGCTGCTGGTTTTCAGCGCGAGGGAAACACAGAGGTCAGAGTCTACTCATTGGGTAGCTCGTACATTCGTGTTCTTGATACTGATGCCCGACGTCGTTCCAGAGTACTGAAGACTGCGGCTTGATGGCTTCCTGGACAATCGACGGTGTCCAGAATGGCATCTGGATCGCAGGTAGAGTACTCAGCGTTGACTTCAGAGAGTATGTGCTGACATTGTCATAACATATGGTGTTTCCTACAGATCTTCACCTTGTCCGCTGTCCTGTTTGCAACCTTAAAGCGTGTGAGGGTAAGATCCCTCAGCTTCAGCTCCCGTTTTCTTCAACATAGACCCATCCATCAACGCGTTTCCGTGCCACAGGCACCATGCAGACACTTGACGCAAGGCATTACGAGCTGTTTCTACATGATGAGTGGAAAACTGGAGAATGGAAATACGAGCAGCTGGCCGCACACGAAGCACCATTCCATTGTCCCCAAGCTGCTGGGGGTCTTTTTGACGCAGGAATTGTTGGACGTCAAGAGCTTAAAGGTAAGCGCAAAGCCAGTGTTGGCCAGATGTTGAGTTGGCACCATAGTTGCTGACTGTGTCCTCGATAGATGTTTTGAACACAAGCAAATGGGTCGCCCCCAATGGAGATTGGCAACCAAGGTACTAATGTCACCTATTGTCTGTTTATTTTGTTGCGGAAATGGAATGGCCTAAAAGCTATTCTTACCTTCTCAGGAGCATAGCAAGGTCGCATGCAGTTGCTGCCAGCACCAACTTGCAACCGAATGAAGGTGTGTCGAATCTCCTTTTATTCAGCAATGACTCCTGCTTGATGTGAGACTCATGAAGTAAGTTTACAGGACTGAAAGTGCGGTGTGAAGTTCTTAGAGGCACTGGAGGGCATATATCCGCAATTCGAGTTTCACAACAGCTTTTATAAAACCACGCAACAGAGCCCAGCTTCTCCAGAGGAGTCTCAGGTGTATCGAGAGAAGGCTGACAGTTTCGCCGAAGGCCTTGAGAACTCATCAGCAGAAGTCCATGCGACAAAACAACTCAACCTCAGCTTGCGCCGGCAAGGGTTTTATGTGTCACTGAACTCTAGTTGTCTTGCATGTTGATACCGATCAGTTGTGCTGCTGGAAGTGTGTGCTGACATGGAGTCAGGACTCAGGAGTTAAACTGAGTAAATATAACTTGTGCCGCAATCTTGCTGGGGGTGTGTGCTAACTCGGAGTCAGGTGCATGCGACACATTGCTGTTGAGGGGCTCTTGCAAAACATTGTAGAACAGGTGAGCAGTAGCAGTCTGCCTGGCCTTGCATTTGTCAAGATTTTCCATAAGAAATCTGCATGGATGAAACATGCAACCACATCAAGCAGCGCAATGCAAAGCACAAACTTCTGAATAGAACATGCACAAATGTTCAAGAACAATGGTTCTGTGCTGTGGGTCAAGGAGACTGAGCCATTACAGACAGACCACGTCGACGCAGACAGTACCTGATGTTAGATGAAAGGTTGTGTGGTGTACACTCGGAGAAAAGGACCTCAGTAAGTAAGGGCTTGTTGAGGAGGATATTGGGCAGAGATGCATACTGAATTGAAGCCCTGAAACACAGAAGAATCGCAGCCTAAATCCTTGATAGAGAGAATGCAGAAAATACATCTAACCAAGCATTGAAACGAACAATAAACAGTAAATATGCCTTGACAGAAAACTTGACGGAACCAACCCCTGGTCATAACAAGCAGAAATCGAGATCGCATCACATACCGTTGCTTTACGATGAATTGAGAGAACCAGTTTGCCTTATATGTCACAACCAGGGGTAATTGTGAGCGAAGCACTTCGACCACCACAGACCCTGAGACACAGAGAGCGAGATCGCATGCCTGCAGCAAACATTTTGACTTTGGCTGAGCATACATACAGATGGTTAAGAGACAAACTTATATGACGGTGTTAAGGCACTGGTGTACCGCCACTATTCGTAAACCGGAAGAGGAATGCGACCTGGGAATCTCACCGCAAAAGTGTCTGCATCTGGTCCAGGCTTGATCATTCTCATTCTGCTGTTCACAGAAGCGTTAACCTCCAGTGCAGGCACCACTACTGCAGCTGCAATGTCAACCACTGTATTAGACGGCAAGGGTGGAAGTAAACTGAATGGAAATTTCTTGCTGGGGCGTTTATTTCTGAGAGAATCAAGCCATGAATGAAAAATGCTCTCGACACGGGCAGTCACATTCGAAGAGCGTGGAAGGGTTGGTATGACCAATGACAGCGTGCCATCTGGCCCTTGGGAATCCAGATGATCCCGGAGCCACCTGGATTTGGTCAGACTGTCAACCGTTTGAATAAAAATGGGAAGCATCCGCGAGACTTCTTGTAGGCGGCTTCCTGGAAGCAGGCAAATGGCTATGTGTTGCGGTCCAACTGGGGGAGGAAACAAAGACAACAAAACAGCTCAGATTGAGGGAAGATTCGTTGCAATATTTATTAGATAAGCGGTAATTAAAGAAGACATGAAACGATAGCCCTTACATGCACGGAATTGCACCTGGAATGCCGTGCTGACGTCTGAAAGATGTTCCATCCCCAGTGGCCTTCCACCATGGCTGGTCCACTCCCGTGCTATGGGGTTCCCTCTGCTTTTCTTCCTCTTCCATCCCTCCTTCCTCTCTCCTCTTCCCTGCTTCTCTCTGCACTGCTCCTTCGCTCGCCTCCCCTCCCACACTCTGCCTGCTTCTCCGCTCTTCCGCCATGACCTCCAGGGGCGGATGCCCTACAGGCGTTGCTGGAATGCCATGCTGCTGCTGTTGAGACGTCTCAAAACAAGTCTCCCCTCCCTCGCTCTGTCTGTCTTTTTGCTCCTCTGCTATGGCCTCCAGGGACGGATGCCCTACATATGTTGCTGAAATGCCATGCTGCTGACACGTGGCAGGCTCGTCAGGCAGGATGCACAGGAGATGGTCAATCAATGGTGAGAGATGCTGGTTGAGGAAAGGTGGGGGGAAAGACGGGAGCAAGGGGGAAGAGGGAAGACGGAAAAAGGGGGGGGGGGGGGGGGGGGGTAGGTTTGTTGGAAGCGAACAAGAAAAAAACAAAAAAGAAAGAAAGAGGACGACTGAAAAAAAAAGAGGCATACTGATGGAGAAAGCAGCTCCACACAAGCACTCAACATACTTGCAATCTCTTCTCTCCTCCTTTGAACGCCCAGAAGGATGGAGCCACATAATGCACGCAGAAAGGAGCCTCCTCGTCCCGCCCATGCCGCTTGTATTCAGCTGCAGCACGCACAGAAAGACAGGAAGAAACACCACACACTTGGACGTTCGCGCAACCTGCTCTCTCCTCCTTTGAACGCCGAGAAGGACGGAGCCACATAGTGTACACAGAGAGGGGCCTCCTTGTCCTTCTCATGCTTCTTGGCTTTCGCTGCAGCGTGCACAGGAAAACAGGAAGAAACAACACGCTTCAACGTCCTAGTCTGCCCGCTCATCCTTTGAACGCCTGCAGAGTCAACAGAGGCCAGCCCAGTGCAAGACTAACCTCGGGAGGCATTTAGCAGACGAAATTTAAAGCCTTTAGAGTTGATGGTAAACACGTGTGATTGACTGAGGAGAAAGAGAGCCAGCAGCAGACGGCAAAAACCATCAAGAGTCAACAGAGGTCAATCCCAGCCAGTCCTCACCTCGGATGGCCTTCAGCAGGCGGAAGTTGAAGCCCTTTGAGTCAATGGTGATCCGTGAAATCAATTGAGAAGAAAGGGAGTCAGCAGAACTTCACAAACGTCAACAGAAATCAACAGAAGTCAAGAGGAGTCAATCCCAGCCAGCTCTCACCTCGAATGGCCTTCAGCAGAAGTCAACAAGAGTCAACAGAGGGGAACCCACTCTCAGTGCGCACCTCGGATGGCCTTCACCTGGCGGAAGTTGAAGCCATTGGAGTCAATGGTGACGTGTGTAATCGGTTGGGAAGAGAGAGAGAGAGGCAGCAGAGGTCAACCCGAGTCAACAGAAGTCAATCGCAACCAGCTCTCACCTCCAATGGCCTTCAGCAGGCGGAAGTTGAAGCCCTTGGAGTCGATGGTGACGATAATGTGTGGCTGGAATCGCTCCACGTGGCGGACAGCTTGGCGCAGGCGATACTGGAATGGAAGGGCATGGGGAAGAATGGACGACACTGGGATAATGGATGTTGGGCTTGGAGGAAAGACGGGGTAGAATTTGGAAACGAACAGGCGGAATTTTTTGTAAGGCCTGAGAAGGCCCAATCTTGGAATACCACCACAACTATGCTGGTATGCTGGCATATTTCCCAATGGCGAGTGCAACCAAGACACGCCACAGTACATGCGGCAATCCATGCTAGTGGATTGCCACAAAATTTGGCAACAGAACTTAGCCACAGAATATAGCAACCGAGGTTAACCACAGAAATTAGCCACTGAATTTCTAGCACTGCCTACATATGGGAATCTAGCTGTACCCATATGCGAGGGATGGGATGCGAGGGGTGTGAGTGTACCCATAAGAGGGGGATGCGCGGGATGATTTCAGCGAAGCCCATGGTAGAGAGGTCCGTCATTGGGAAGAGAGAGTTGAGACCCTCCGATGCCATCCAGGGGCTGTGGTGGTGGTGGTGGGGGGGGGGAGGGAGGGGGGAGAGGGGGGGGGGATTGGGGGGGGTATGGTTTTGGTTGTGGATGTGGATGTGTGGAGGGGGCGTGAGGCATGACTTCAGCGAAGCCCATGGTGGAGAAGTCTGTCATTGGGAAGCTAGAGAGAGTTGAGACCCTCCGATGTCATCCAGGGGCTGTGGTGGTGGTGGTGGGGGTGTGGGAGGAAGGGGGGATGCGGAGGGTGCGGATGGGGGGAAAGGGGGGGAGAGGGGGGGCGGAGGGTGCGGATGGGGGGGAAATGGGGGGGGGGGGAAGGGGGGGCGTAGGGCGCGTGGAGAGGAGAGGAAGGGGAAGAGGTGCATGTGTGAGCATTGAGTGCGAGGGATGACTCCCTCAAGCTTCATGATGAGGGGTCACCATGAGGCTGGAGCGGGTGCGAAGGAGAAAAGGATCATGAGAAAGGAGGGGCACTCTGAAGGCAGAAAGGAGGCCGTCCAATGCCAACCAGGGGCTGTGGTGGTGGTGGTGGTAGTGAAAGGGGTGGTGGGGAAGGGAGGGCCCGGGGCGGGGGAGGGGGAGAGAGAGGAGTTTACTGCAGTGGCTCGACGGGTATTGCGGTGCATACTACTCCCCCTCTCACACCCTCCCGATTCACGCTCTCACTCACTTGCCCACTCCGTTACTCGCTCACTCACCCTCTAACGCCTGGAACTCAGTGCTCACCCTCTAACGCCTGGAACTCAGTGGTCCCGGCACGCCCTTGCACAACCCTCACCTCACTCACCTCCCTTCCCAGTCATTTGCTCGCTAATCCACTCACCCTCCCACGCCTTGGAACTCAATGGTCCCGGCACGCCATTGCGCCGCCTCCGCCTCTCTCACACCATCGCCTCCCATCCCCCGTTCTGCCCTCCCTCCGCAGTCTCGTTCCGCCACCTGCTCCCAGATCTCCCCTTTTCTCCTCTCAGCCTCGTCTCTTAAAGCCGCCATTAATCTGCACCCAATCGCGTCCCCTGACGGCTCGCCAGCGACTATAAACACACGTAGCGACTCGCTGCGATTCAAGGGGCGACGCCGTCTAGCTGACGTGGCGGATGCTTCAGCTGAGGTTGCGCGACGCGCTGAGGTGGCACCGTGCTCGGACGTGAAACCTCTAAATGGTGGGGTGGAAACTTTGGCTGACGTGGCAGAACCGAGGAAAGAGGCGGGGTTGACGTGTCTTTTGAAGGAGCGGGTCAACGCTGAAGCTTGGCCTGAATGATCGGAGGCCTGACTCGAAAGGGAGGCTTGCCTATAAAAGGAGGTGCCATTAGCGAGTGTGCTTCTGGAGGCATCCAACGAAGGGGCCAAAGTTGCCGGAAACGGCGGTCCTGAGCTCAAGAGGCTTCTCGGAGCAGCTTGCGACGCTGCTCCGATTCCAAACCGGTTTTCAGGACGCTGCGCATCCCGGGGTGAGATTGCAAGTAAACTCGCCGGGGAAGCTACCGGAGTGATCAGATTCTCAAGTGCACAAGGTTCAGCGGCGGAAAGCACGGGAACGATGATGGCGCGCTTTAAGCGGGAAGTGGTAAATCCGGAGGCTAGATCGGTAATATCCCCTGGAAAGTAGGATTGGGGCGAACGTCGCAGCGTAGATGTACATACTAGTAATAATCGCCTGCTTCTTGACGTCATCATTCTCTTGACCGCGGTCGCGCCGCCACGTCATGCCCACGCAGACCCCTTGGCGCTAAATTGCAAGCCAAGCCGAGGTGGGCCTTAGTAAACGCTTGAATAGCGGCTGAGAGGCGTTGAGAGCGCACCAGAAATCAGCTCGTCGACGGTGCGCACAAGCCGCTAAAGCAGGCTACTGTTGGCGGGAGAAGCTACTACGCTTGGCTATGGTTGTGTTTATTTGCATGTTTGAGGTGAGGGGCTGGATGTTTTGTTGCGAACCAGGCGAACAGTTTGTGGAAGTTCACCTGCACGGGTTACCCTTCTAGTTTCGGGTTCAGCGAGAAGAACTTCCTGCTGCTGGTAACTCGGGTCTCCTTCCATCACTCAGTGTGGAATTAGAACTGGCGAACTCTGGCGACATGCTGGTGTTGGTGATCTGCGGGCACATCCAAATGCGATCGCAGCATGGGTGTTCACTAATCTTGTTCGTCGATAAACTACTTCAGCCATAGAATCGACGGTCCGCACAGCACATGGATCTGGGCTGTCCAATCAAGCTCATCATCCAAATTCGAATCCTTGAGCTGTCACTCCAGCTTACCCGTAGTTTCACGTATTACCGACTGGAAACGAACTTCACCACGCCGAACTCTGACATTTCTCCGGTTTTCGCGGTGTTAATGAACTTTTAGAGATTCCTGTCCGGAGAAAACCAAGGCTTTCAGCTACGAGACCGACCTCTTGCCACCATGGCTGCCGCGTCGCTCAGCTGGTCGAACCGCGTGCTTTCAGGCCCCGCTTCACGAGAATCTGTGTCCCTCGCGTCTCACAAGTTTCGCAGCAAGAACGTAGCATCGAGTCGCGTGGTTCCCGTTCATTCACGCAACGCTAGAAGGAGGTCCGTACTGAAAGTCGAAGCGCGTGCCATTCTAGACTTCTTCACGAAGCGAGGCGCCCCGCAAAGCGATTCGGGGGAGTTTCGAGAAGGATGGGCCTATGCTCCGTGGGAAAGGGTGAGCCGCTGCTATCCTTAGGTAAAGCCGTTGCTGTCCTCAGTATGATAAGCCATGGCTGCCTTTAGAACAATAAACCTACAGCCCTGTAGTTCACAGTAAAGCTTCTCCATCCATCCTGCCACCCCAAGCTGGTTTATTGCTAACGTTGAAAAGCGCAATGCACTTACACTTTCTCCACCAGGTGCGGCTCGGGCCCTTCACGGTGTCCCCTATGGGCCTGGGAACCTGGGCGTGGGGGAATAAGTTCCTGTGGGGCTACGAGGAGGCGATGGATGAGGAGCTTAAGGAGGTATTCGACCTCGTCGTGTCGCGCGGGATTAACATCTTCGACACCGCTGACTCGTACGGCACTGGCGCTCTTAGCGGCCGCAGCGAGCAGCTGCTGGGACAATTCATTAAAGAGTACCCCGGTAAGCAGAAGGTGTTTTCAAGTCGACTAAAAAATATCGTACGGCACTGGCTCTCTCTCCATCTCCACCCCTCCCCCCGCTCGTTCTGTCTCCCCATAGCGTCGCTCTCTTCTCCTCCTGTCGCCATCATCAACCTCGTGCCTTCCTGAAACGGTTTTTGAAGCGTCTAAACAAATCCCATAGCGTCGCTCTCTTCTCCTCCTGTCCCCACCATCAACCTCGTGCCTTCCTGAAACGGTTTTTGAGGCGCCTAAGCTAATCCCATAGCGTCGCTCTCTTCTTCTCCTGTCGCCCTCATCAACCTCGTGCCTTCCTGAAAGACCGCCCTCTACACACAGGAAACACGACGACCTCTCTCAACCGCCTCTCACCACTCTTCTCTCCTCCTGCCCTCTCTCTCCTCTCCTCCCCCTCCTTCCCCCCCCTCCGCGTCCCTCTTCCCCCCCACCTTCCCCCCCGCCCCCCCCTCTCCTCCCCCCCAGGAAGTGACAAGTACCGCAGCGACATCCGCTTTGCCACCAAGCTGGCTGCGTATCCCTGGCGCCTCACACCCGGGCAGATGGTGGGCGCCTGCAGGTGAGATGCGGTGAGGTGCGAAGAGACGTGGTGAGAGGTGGGGAGAGAAAAACGAGAAGGCGTAGGAAAGGTGGTGGGGAGAGATGGGGAGATGAGCTACAAGCCATGTCTGATCCACTTAATCATGTGCTTTGTTTCTCCCAGAGTCTCATTGAGTCAGTTTCAAGAAAAGCGAGCAGGTCGTGTATACCTCTAACCATTGTTTCATGTTTATCCATCCTTTCTCATTTCCCAAGGGAACATTGGCTCGCCTAGGGATGGAGAAGCTAGCGATAGGGTGATAGGGCAGCTGCACTGGTCCACGGCCGACTGCGCTCTTCTGTCGTGATAACCTTCTCTTCTAAAATCTTCTATCCTTTATCGTCTCTCCTCCATTAGGGCCTCCTTGGACCGCTAAGGCATGGAGAGGCTAGCGATAGGGTGATAGGGCAGCTGCACTGGTCCACATCCGACTATGCTGCCTGTAATCATGACCCTCGTCTCCTCTCTTGTAGGTATCCTCTGTGCATCCAGCTCATACCCTCCATTCTTCTCTGCTCCCCCACCAGGGCCTCCTTGGATCGCCTGGGCATGGAGAAGCTAGCGATCGGGCAGCTGCACTGGTCCACGGCCAACTACGCACCGCTGCAGGAGAGGGTGCTGTGGGATGGGCTCGTGGCCATGTATGAGGAGGTGAGGCGCCATTGCATTCACAGAGAGGAAAGCCAGCGATAGGGCAGCTGCACTGGTCCACGGCCAACTATGCTCCGCTGCAGGAGGGGTTTCCGTGGGACGGGCTCGTGGCCATGTATGAGGAGGCGAGATTCTGATGTAATCAAAAGAGGAACACTAGGGATAGGGCAGCTGCAGTATCGATAGGGAAGCTTCCCTGGTCGACACCGCTGCGGGAGAGGATGCTGTGGGATGGGCTCGTGGCTATGTACGAGGAGGTGAGATGAAACCGTACGAGAATGTGTGATGAAACTCTATGAAGAGGTGAAATGAGACCCTGTAAGAGGGGATGGGATGAAACTCGGTGTGTGGAAATTGAACTATGTGCGAGTATGATGAAACTATTCGCACGATTCTGTTGGATACAAATTGTGGATAAGGGTTAGCGACAAGGACCTTGGTGTGTGGATCAATCATTAAACCATTTTCGAGCCGTGTGGATCAAAACTGTGGGGTCTAGTGGAGTGTGTGGGTGTGAGCAAATGAAGTAGTTAGCTGTCAACTCTTTTCCTCTCCCCTCTCAACCACTCCACCAGGGTCTAGTGGAGTGTGTGGGAGTGAGCAACTACGGCCCCCAGCAGCTGGAGCGAATCTACACGTACCTGCAGGAACGGGGAGTGCCCCTAGCTTCGGCACAGGTACGGAATCAGCCCGCATTCACCAATTAATTATTTCTTTAGAAAGTTTCCTTGTGTAACATCCTTCTGTAACATCGTTCTGTAACCTTCTGTAACCTTGTGTAACCTCCTCCTCGATCCTATATTTCCCTTCTAAGCTTGGGCCAAGAGCAGGAGGAGGGACTTTCTAATCCTCATAAATCCTCACGTTCCCTTCGTTCTCAACCCTCCAGGTGCACTTCTCCCTTCTGAGCTCGGGCCCAGAGCAGGAGGACCACCATTGTGCCCATGCCGTTCTCCACTCGTTCTCCCCCTGTCCCACCCGCTCTCCCCCTGTCCCACCCGTTCTCCCCCTGTCCCACCCGTTCTCCCCCTGTCCCACCCGTTCTCCAATCCACCCATTCGTTCTCAACCCCCACGTGCAATTCTCTCTCCTAACCTTAGGCCCAGAGCAGGAGGATCTGCTGTCGTTTGAGTCAACTCAATAGTCAAAGCCCCACACCCTTACAATCCACCCATCTACCTGCCGACCCAATCATCTCAACCCACCCCACCAGGTGCAATTCTCCCTGCTGAGCTCGGGCCCAGAGCAGGAGGACCTGCTGTCGTTTTGTGATGCCAATGGCATCCGCGTTATAGCATACTCCCCTCTTGCTCTCGGCGTGCTGTCAGGGAAATACAACGCTGACAACCTGCCGCAAGGCCCAAGGTGCTGTTCTGTGTGTCTCGCAAAGTGCGAACGGTTTAGACACTGCATCCGCGCTATAGCATACTTTCCTCTTGCTTTCGGCATGCTCTCAGGGAATTGCCATGCTGACAACCTGCCGCAAGGTTCAAGGTACTGCCAATCTAAGCCTTCCAAGGGTCTTGCAGTACCAACTCGGCAGCTCCATCGTGTGCACTGATCTGAGGTTTCCAATCGTGCTGAGATCATGGCATGTCTAGGCGTGCTGACTAGATCGTTACTCTGTACCCAAGGCACTGACTAGTCTTCACGGGTCGTGTGGTACCAACTCGGTAGCTCCATTGCATGCACTGTTCAGAGATTACCAAACGTGCTGAGATTATTATGGCATGTTCACGCGCGCGGATCGCTAAAACACCCTTGCTCCTTCCTCTGCTTCCTCACTCTCTCCTCTGCTTCCTCACTCTCAGGGGTCTTCTGTTTCGGCAGCTGCTGCCCGGCCTGGACCCTCTGCTCGCCGTCATGGCGGAAATCGGGCAGAAGCGAAACAAATCCCTGACCCAGGCAAGTCATGCCATAGAGTACTAACATCCTGCTTCCCCCCCCCCCCCGCCAAGTATCCACTGATTCCAACCCCGTCTTACAGTAACCTGTAACGATCTCTTCTTTCTTCTGGTTTTTGTTGTAAGACTGTAATGCACCTCCCTGTAATGGATGGTACTATTCCTTGTTTGTAGTACTAAAATGCACTTTTTAATGCTGCACCTACCCTCATCACACACGCACCACACAGGTGGCAATCAACTGGTGCATGGCAAAGGGCACTATTCCCATCCCAGGAGCCAAGACCCTCCAGCAAGCGGAGGAGAGTCTTGGGGCGCTTGGCTGGCGGCTGTCAGGCAATGAGGTCGCAGCTTTGGACGATGCTGCTGCTGAGGTGCCTCGGCCGATGATCCAAAATATCTTCCAAACCAAGTGATGTTTGGGTTGCTTGGTGAATGTCTTACACTAGTGGGTTGGCATATATTACTGTGGGTTGCAGTTCTTGACGACCCTGCTGCTGAGATGCCTGCCTGGCCAATGATTCAAACATCTTCTAAGCCAAGTGGCTTGCTGGTTGTGCTGTGAATGTTTCAGGCTAGTATAATAAAATATCAGTGGGCTAGGACCAACATCAAAACACCCAGGTCATCATGGACGCATTCTAAGTATCTGTGAAGTATAATTCAACGCCTTCACCACTCACCATGCTAAGGACCGTCTGAATTACAACTACCAATCATAGAACACCACCACCTCGTCATCAGCCCCAACCCTGTCAAAGACCCCTCCGAAAGCCCAGTTCTCAAACCCACCATCTCCAGTATTCGCAACCTCGAAGGGTCCCTTCTTGTAGTACACCGTAAATTCGGAGTTATCCCAAAAGTGCCACACCTCGACCTTGGCGGAATCCGGGCCGCCTTCCACGCGGTGCTCGCTCTTGATCACCATCACGTTGTACCCCGCGCCCATGAAAATCTCCACCAGCTTCTGAGTCACCTCGCCGTCCTCCGGCCCGTCGATTGTGCCCAGGCTCCCCGAAATGACCTGATCCGCGGTCACCCCGTCCCAGCTGAACAGCTTCCGCTCCACCCTGTGGGGAGATCCCAAGGTCGATCCAGATGCGGAGCCGAGCGTATCGTCGGTGACGCCGGCTGCTGCGGCGGAGGACGACGCCTGCAGCATGGGCCGTGCTGCGCTGGCGCTGGTGACGGCGAGGAGCACGAGGAGAGCTAGAGGCAGCAGCTGGCGAGCTGCGTGCAGCCAGGCGTTAGTCGCCATTGAGAAGTTGTTGAAATTGGACTCCGAAAGTCAACGAGGAAGTTGTATTGAGCTTTAGATAGCCTTTCACGTGTGAGATTGGAACGGAAAAATTACTAGCCGTGCGCTGATTGGTACGTTAGATTTGATTGAATGAGGGGAACGCCGATAGATATTGACAGTATGGAAGGAGTAATTGCAGAAGCTGTGATGAGATTGGAGATCTTGAATGTCTAATATATAGCCTTCCATGTTAAACCAAAACGTTCCTGATCTGCTGAAGCCGCAAAAACCGGTGGTCTGCGTTCAGACTCGGACGCCAGAGCCACGCGTAAGGTTTCTGCCGCAAACAGGAAACGCCGGGCGTGAGGGGTACGCGCGATGTGAGTGCGAGGCGAGAATAAAACGCCTGGCTTGTTTGCTCGTGTCAAACACGCCTAACATTGAAGTTCAACGGTGGGGTAACTGGGTGTGGCGTGGGGTAGGGGTGGACGGCGGGAGGGAGCGGAGCGGAAGGAGGCGGAGGAGAGCTGACAGGATTGGATGCATCTGGATCGACCTCGTCGAGAGGGACCTTTCTTCCCTCACCAGTCCGAATCTCGTTATGAAATTGCGCCAGTCTATGCTATACACCAGAAATTGGTTTAATAGTGTATTTTGCACCTGCATATAGACTAATTTGTTCTAGTCCACTTCTGATGCATGTTTCGCTTACCATTTCTGTCGATAATTACGGTGGAGGAATATAATAATAGCATGCATGAGGTCTTATGTTTAATATTAGATGCAAAAACCAATTTTACAATACCTTTGTCATTTGTGGTTGTTTGATTGAGGGTTGCGAACAAGATCTATATAAAATATGGCAAGAGAATGAAATAATTGCTCATCAAGCAACAACTAAACGACCTAACAAGCATACTCGTTCATTCCAATACACTCACAATTTAGGGCACGGAATACGAGGGCACAAGATACTAGGGCATGAGATACGAGGGCACAGAATCTGAGAGCAGAGGATATGAGGGCACATGAAAGGTCACAGGATATGCAAGAGCACCGGATACGAGGGCACAGCAAAGAATATGAGGGCAGGAGATGTGATGGCAATGTATATGTGGGCAGAGGATATGAAGGCACGTGATATGAGGGCATGAGATGTGAGGATACGAGATACGAGGGCATGGGGTACGAGGGCATGGAATACGAGAGCATGGGATACAAGGGCATGGGCTGTGTGTCAACATATAATTTGTATATGTTATAGGCTAGTTAGGTGCATGCTCATATAGGGTACAACCCCTTAGGTTATAACCCCTTGTACAACCTCATTCTAGGAAATCTTTCTACTCTGAGACTGTGGGGTCACTGGAGTTGAGGGCATGTGATATGAGGGGACATGATATGAGGGCAATGGGGGCAAGGGATATGAGGGCACGTGATATGAGGGCACGGGGTGTGAGGGCACCGGATATGAGAGCATGGGAGTTGAGGGAGCGGGATTTGGGGGCATGGGCTATGAGGGCACTGGATGTGAGGGCACGTGATATGAGGGCACAGGATGTGAGGGGCACTAGATGTGAGGGCATGGGAGTTGAGGGCACGTGATATGAGCGCATGGGATATGAGGGAACATTATATGGGGACACTGGATGTGAGGGCACGGGATCCGACAACACATGATACAAGGACACAGAATATGAGGCACATCTAACGAGGGCATGGGATACGAGGGCACGGGATGTGAGGTCACGTGATATGAGGGCACATACTATAAGGGTACTAGATTTGACGGCACGAGCTGAATCTTGGCCATCTGGTGCCCGAGCGTCGCTTGGCAAACCTCCAGATCTGAGGGCATGTGATATGAGGGCACCGGATTTGATGGCATGTGATATGAGGGAACGGCACATGGCGACATGGGATGTGAGGGCACAGGATGTGAGAGCACGTGCTGTGACGGCATGTGATGTGAGGGCATGGGATTTGAGGTCACTGGATGTGAGGGCACGGGAGTTGAGAGCATGGGATATGAGGGTACTGGATGTGAGGGCATGGGACCTGAGGGCTTGGGATGTGCGGGCATGCGATACGAGGGCATAGGGTACAAGTGCATGAGATATGGGGGCATCAGATACGAAGTCACAACGTATGAAGGCCCGGCATACGGAGGCACGGGCTATGACAGCACTGGATCCGACAGCATGTGATATGAGGGCACGTGATGTGAGGGCATGGGATATGAGGGCATGGGATATGAGGGCACGGGATGTGAGGGCATGGGATATGGGGGCAAAACACATGAGGGTTAAGGGATGTGAGGGCACGGGATACGAGGGCTCAAGTTACGAGGGCTCGAGATGCGAGGGCACGGGATGCGAGGTCACGCATAGTAAGGTAAAAGAATCATGGTAGGGAGGGCACAAAATATGAGGGCGCGAGACTAGACGGCACCGAAAATGAGGGCATGAACTATCGAGGCATATAATATGGGGGCACATAGTCTGGGGGCACAAAATATGAGGGCACGGGATATGAGTGCACAGGGATGTGAAGGCACGACATTTGAGGACAACGTACAATCGTCTCTGGTTGTTCATTTCGAATCGTGCACGATTTCGAAGATTCCATAATTGATAAATACAGTGACTGGATTAAAGAATCGCATGCAAACCTTTAAAGTACTCATAGGCTATATGCAGATTGCTACGATAAAGAATTTCATCCATTTATGAACGGGACACTCGAGCCGTAACTGCCACAGGATCAAATGCGTCGAGGAAAGGTTGCAGCATCGATGGATAGAAGGCACTTTTATACTTCCAGAGTACATCAGGTAACCAGTTTTATCCTATCCAAATGGAATAGACCCTTCTAGAAATAGAATCACCCTACGTATAGCCACGCGAGGCTATTGGCTTTAAGGGATTACGGCAGGATTACGCTAGATATAGCGAGCCAGTACATCCCGAGCCTGGTCGGTGATATAATTGTAATAACAGGATAAACCCAAGGATAATGGGAAATGAGAAATAGGAAACGAGATGGGATGAGAGAAAGACCACATGGATCAGGTTAGAAAGAAGAATGAGGTGGATGGAATGAGAAGGAAACATAGCGGGGTCGTACTCTCACACTTCCCCCCCTCAAAGCTGGGTGGTAGAAGTAACACCCTGCTTGATAAGGTAGTCGCGAAGAGGACGACGAGCGTTATCCATCTCAGATTCAGGAGCCCAGCTATCCTCAGAAGGATGATAACCCTTCCAACGAATGAGAAGCTCCACACTGCCATTCCGACGATGGTGATGGGCAAGCACGGACTCGACCTCGTACACGGGTTCATCGTGGACGAGGACGGGCGGCGGTGGCGGCGGTCGGCGACCGGTGAAGATCGTGCTAGGATCTCTGTAGGGCTTTAGAAGTTGGACATGGAAGGCGTTGTGAATCTTCCAGGTGGCTGGCACACATAAGCGGAAGGTAACAGGAGTGACCTGTGCTTCAACGAGAAAGGGTCCGCAGAAGCGAGGTCGCATTTTGGATGGTAGATGACTAATGTCGAGATTGCGGGTGTCGAGGAGGACCTGGTCCCCCACGGTGATGGTGTGATCATTGCGATGGCGATCGGCCTGGCGCTTCTATTGCTGCTGAATGTCGAGGAGGCGCTTGTGGGTCTGATCCCAAAGCTGGTGCATGGTTGTGATGAAGTCGTGTGCGGGTTGGACTGTGGCTGATACTGTTGGTTTCTGTGGCGTGAGTGGGTTGCGTCCGTATCAGAGGAAGAACGACGCCTGTCCTGTAGCGGCGTAAGTGGCGTTGTTGTAGGCAAACTCTAGGACGGGTAGATGCAAGTCCCATTTAGAGATCTCGTCCTTGCAAGCTGCGCGAAGGACTTGCTCCACAATTTGGTTGAGGCGCTCCGTCTGTCTGTCTGTCTGCGGATGGTAGGCGGATGACATGGCGAGTTTGGTTGTGTCTTCAAATATTTCAGGCTGCAGTGGTCGGTGTAGACGGTAGTTTTTCGTTCTTCGAGGTAACACCTCCACATCTTGAAGGCGATGACGATGGCAAGGGCCTCCTTGTCGTGTATCGGGTAGTTTAGCTCTGCCCCGTATAATTTCTTACTGAGATAGGCGATTGGTTGCAGTCCATTCCCCTGGTCTTGCATCAAGACCGCCCCCACTGCCTGATCGCTAGCGTCAGCTTCGATGACGTAGTCGCGTTCGGGGTCTGACAAGATGAGTACAGGCGCGGACGTGAGTGCTTGTTTCAGCTGCTCCATCGCTTCCTGGTGCCTCGGTTCCCACTTATAGGGCGTGTTCTTCTTCAGCAGATTCGTCAGCGGTGTCGCGATTTTCGCGTACTGAGGCACGAACCTGTAGTAATAGTTAATGAAGCCTAGGAGCTGCTGTAACTCCTTCACGTTCTCGGGCATCTTCCACGTGCGTACGGCTTCGATTTTCTTGGGGTCGACATAAACTCCTTGACCGCTCACCATGTGTCATACGAATTGGACTTTCGCGAGGGCGAATTCGCTCTTGGACAATTTGACGTAGAATCGTTCTCGTCGAAGAATGTCGAAGACGCGTCGCAGGTGTTCGACGTGCTGCTTCATAACGCGCGAGTAGATGAGGATGTCGTCCAAGTACACCATCACGCATTCGTCCAAGAGTGGGCGTAGAATGTGGTTCATTTCGGCTTGGAATATTGCCGGTGCGTTGGTGAGTCCGAACGGCATTACCAGATACTCGTACGACCCGGATCGAGTTCGGAAGACAGTTTCGTGGATGGAGTTGTCCGCCATTCTTATCTGCCAGTATCCGAACCGCAGGTATATTTTGGAAAATACTCTCGCTCCCCAAAGCTGGTCAAGCAGGTCATCGATTCGTGGAATCGGGAATTTGTTCTTGATGGTCTGCTTATTGAGAGCTCGATAGTCGATGCACATGCGCAGGCTTCCGTCTGGCTTCGGTGTGAAGAGCACTGGGGCACCGTATGGCGATGTGGATGGTCGGATGAGTCTTTTGGCGAGGAGATACTCGATCTGTTTCTTCATGTCGGCTAGCTCTATGGGGTGGAGCCGATATGGTGCTCGGAAGGTCGGTTTCGAACCTGGCTCCTCCACAATCTCGTGCTGGCGCATTCGGTATGGCGGCAGCTCGTTCGGAAGGTCATCGGGAAGAATGTCTTGGAACTCCTTCTGTAATATCTGGATCTCTTACGGAGGTTCCGAGATTTTCTCCCCGTCATCTTCCACGTCTGTTGCTATCGCCAGGAACCCAGTCTCGGTTTGTTTTACGCCTTTCTCGAATCTGGCGAGTTTCTCCACTGAGATATCTCCTCTGTCATCCCAGTTGGGTAGCGGA